CTCCTCTAAAAAATGGAAAATGTCTAAAAAGCACATTTGAAAAACACTTTTGGTGGATATGCGTGCATGTTTAGAACAATGCTAACATCATCAGCAGAACCTTGAGCAAAGAACGGATGTCTGGGACACATCCTTCTTCTCCTCCTCCTCCTCCCAGTTTGGATGAGAAATGGTGGACATTAAGCTGAATGAGTTGACGAATGAGATGATTAATGGATGTTGCAAACAGGTAGTCTAGTTGTTGGTATGCCCATCAGCGAATTTAAACTACTAATTATAGCAGTGCGTCATCTTCTTTCATCGTCTTTTTTTTTAAATATCTGCCCCCTCTCTCTTTCTCTCTCTCTCTCTCTTTCTTTCTCTTTCCCTCTGTCATTCATTATGCACAATCTTATCGCTTTCTCTTTTCTCCTTCCCCCACTCTCTCTCTCTCTCTCTCTCTCCCTCTCTCCGGTAGTCCAGTGGATAACGTAGAAATGTAAAGAGAGGAGCAGCCTCCCCCCCCCCAAGTAAAAAAAATAACAAAATGAAAAAATGAACAAAATAGAAATTTCAAAAGATAGATGAATAAGAATATTTATGAATAAAAAAGAGAACAAAATAACAGGCAAAAGAAAAAGAAACATTAAATAAATGTAACGACTCACATGATCAGAGCATGCGTTTATTTTTTCGGTTTCATAATATTATATTTTCATTTCAATTAAAGTTTTGTTTATATCCTCGGATAATTGCATTTACTACAGATATGTGGACGTTTTCACTCAAATGTCATCCTTTTACGCAAATGAAACTGACTTTTTTTAACAGGAAAAGCAAAGAAGAAGAATCTTAGTCATTGAAGGCTGTATAACATTGAAGTGACGATGATAGACAAATAGAAGGTAATACACAAAGAGTGTGAGAGGGGGAGAGAATGCGTGTGTGTGTGTGTGAGTGTGTGTGAATTAAAGAGGGCGATATATATATATTTAATTAATATATATTTAAAGAAAGAGAGAGAGAGAGAGAGAGAGAGAGAGAGAAAGAGAGAGAGAGATATATATAGAGTCGCTTTGAAACTTCAGGAATAAACCCAACCCAACAGATTAAATGATTTGCAAAAGCCACCCTTGGAATAACGAGAGAATAGAACTCTTAAGTTTCCACAATGATAAACAATAAAATAATTACAATTGTAAAGCTTTCGAAAATTCCTCTAGCAAAATGATACACCGAACCACAATTGTTTGTTTGTTTTTATTATTCATTATTTTTTGGGGCTTAATTTTCTCAATTGTAAAAAAAAATGATTGAAACTACAGAGTGAGGTCACATCCGGGCCCAGGATGGACTTTGTTCTAGAAGAGGGCGTGGAGAACATGGTCTGCAATTTCACCAATCCATGGTCTTCAAAAGTAATTCACAATTGAATTAATACAAAATACATGGTGTCCTTCCTCAGAAGATTTCCTCTCGGACAACTAAAGATAATGATTTACTGTCTTATAGAATATTAGTTGTTCGGAAATGAGGTTATATATGGTTGCTCATTAAATGGTAATTACCCAAGGTGGTTGATTCCACTTAGCTCGATCATGAATCCTCGATCCGTAGCAATATTTGGATCTCTTATTTTCACTCTCGTCACTATTTCGCCCCTCTCGACCCAGGTTTATAGTGATGTGTACCAGATAGATATGAACCTCTCGCATGCTAGGGCCAAACGGGAGATGTTTAGCCCTGAACAGCTCTGCGTGTCGGCTGTGAGCGCTTCTTATTGGCGTATTAGTGATATAAATTCTTTAAAAAATTATTATTATACTATTTAATTATGTGTTTACATGTCACTACATCTACGAAAACTATCTCCCTGCATGGACTCATTGCTATTTTTTCTAATCTACTTTTTTTCTTCTTCATTTCGTTTGAGATATTATGGCACGTCTAAATCCGATTGTATAGAGCTGGAATCGTTTGAATATCTAAAAGCAATTTTTATCCGAGAAACAAACTAAATCTGCATGCGGTTTTAAATCATGGAGGATTCTTGGGAATTGTTTTGGTCATAGCCTTCTACTGTATATATATAATTATATTTTTGTTGTTGATTACGTGTGAATCAAAATTTGTATATTTTGAAGAACACATTAAACAAAGTCCCGTTCGTGTCATTACTATAATATCTTCCGTATGTATTTTTTTTGTTTAGTTTTAATTAATTTATGTGAACGTGATCCAAAACGTCACACATGTTTTAAAATCGTGTTTGGTTGGTGCATACATTTCTAATACCCTTGACCTCGGATATTTCCGAATTCCTACATTTTATTTCCGACGTCATAATCCCATACTTTCCTGAAAAATGAAGAAAGAAGGCAGTTTCCATGCACACGAATAAAAAAAAAAAGGAAAAGCAGTATTTCTTTCCCGTTCATATAATTTTGTTCGTATCTACTTTTTTTCTCTCATTTCGTTTGAGATATTATGGCACGTCTTAATCCGAGTGTGGAGTTGGAATCGTTTGAATTTTATATAGTAATGTTTAATTCTTGGGAATTGTTTTGTTCGTTTTAATGTACCCATAATCATGGTTTTGTTGGTGTTTGCGTATGAATCAACATTAATTTTGAAGAGCACTAAACAAAGTCTCATTCGTGCCATTCCTATGATATCTTTCGTATGTATTTTTTGTTTAGTGTTTATTAATTTATGTGAATGTGATCGTGCGAACGTGATCCAAAAAGTCAAAGATGTTTTAAAATCATGTTAGGTCGGTGTGTACTTTTCTTATCCCCTTGACCTCAGGTATCTACGAGGTCCTACATTTTATTTCCGACGCCCTAATCTCATATTTCCCGGAAAAAATGAAGACACGGAAAATTCCATGCACACGGATACCAAGAAGAGAAAAGCAGTATTATGTTTTGCCTTGATCAGGGCTCTTTTTTTCTTCTTCAGAATTATTTCTTTGTTTATCTCTTTCATAATTATTTTCCTAGTTTGCATATTTAACACTTACATCGCCTTGGCCAACCATCTGTAATCCCAGTTCTCTCTCTCTCTCTCTCTCTCTCACTTACTCTCTCTTTCTCTTACTCTCTCTCTCTCTCTCTCTCTCTCTCTCTCTCCCTCTCTCGATATAGTTCCCTGTCTGCTACTTTCTCTCTCCCCTCTTACTCTCTTTCTTTCTTTACTTTCCTTTCTCTGCAATTCCATTCTAAATTACACATCTCATTCGGTGAAGATGATGAAACGATCTTTGAAACCAGATCCAGGAAGATGTTGTTTTACTGTAATTTACTCCCCCACCCCCAAATACTCTACAAAGCAAAAACAAACACTTTTAAAATTCTTCATTTCATCACAGATTTATTATTTCATGAAAATCCACAAGTTGTGTGATATCATATCACTCAATAGCAATCAAAAACGTGTGTCCAGTGACTAGTCTCACACCTAGATCATTTACAAGTTGCAGAATGAAAACATTACACAAACACCTCACTACAAATTTCAAAAGTACAAGAAACGACTACATTCATGACATTGCGACTAATAACCGATAGTTTGCTAGATGGGTTATCAGGTCGGACTTATTTTATAACTTTCAATCAAATAGCAACATTAATTGGTATTAATTAGGTAGTATTCGATGATCGATAGCAAATTTTCTAAGCTATGACATTTTAACAAATAGAAACAAACGTATTAATATAAAGAATACTCACTAAAAATGTTGAATTTCCAATTATCGTTAATTCTCGAAATATGTTTATTTTCTGCATATCCCCGTTTAACGTTAAAATTACAATTAAAGATAATTATGATGGGCGTTATTAAAAAAGAAAAAAGATTATCTTGATCCTTTTCGAATTCATGAGCATTCTAAAGTTTTACATATATGTTACTTAGTGCTATTGCTATTAGTGAAACTTAATTGAAATGAGAAAAAATACTAACCATACCCTAGTATAATTATCTTAACTGGTTTGTTTCGTTGTAAGGAACATTGGTTGTTTGAAAGAACTTAGTACATATCGTTATTTTTATAACGTCATTAAAACATGATCATCATTCCAACCCAGGTGTAGTATGAAGACAACTCAATCTCTGTCAATAATGGTCTTATAAAGTTTGAAACTTTGCTTGCAAAGATATAACTTGATTCCGAAATAGGAACGATTTTTGTGGACATAACCTTTTTCATATTTTGCTTGCAAGTCGAAATTTGATTTCGAATAATATAACAATGAAAAAGTGCTGCTTTCACAAAACATTCTTTCCACTAAGAATCTTATAAATAAAACATCTGCTTTCATAAATAATTTGTCTTGCGTTTTAGAATAATCTAATGATTTTTTTTGTAATCACATAAATTAAGTCATCTATGATACAGAAAATTACACTGAAGAGCACACAAAATCATTTTTACACTGTACATGTTTCATCCAAGCGAAGAACAAAAAGAAACAATGAAATTAATGACTAAAAACATGACGCTGTCATATTCGTTCAGAATAGGCACATTTTCAAACATGAAGCATTTCAATTCCATTTATAATAAAGTAAAATAGCACCAAAGGATATTCGGAGATTAATCATTTACAAATTACCGTCCTCTCGCTACCTTCTCTCTTTCTCTCTCTCTCTCTCTCTCTCCCTCTCTATCTCTCGTTCTATCTCTCGTTCTATCTCTCTTTTTTCACCGACGAAAATCCATGTATAGATATAATTATTTTTTCTTAACATGACTTTGCTTTCAATGTTAAGTCTACATGTCTTCATAGACACAATACAACGGAAGATTTGCCATTGTTTTCGTTTAATTAACCTTAATATGGACTTTAAAAGTTCGATAAAAAAAAGTATAATTTTAAAAAAATAACATGGCGTGACAAGTATGGTTACATGGGTTATCGCAATTCCAATTTATGATCTAAACGACCTAATGTTTAGAAAAGTTTACAAGTTTGATTTTATAAAAATTGTGATACGACAAATTACTTTTTCATCTCAAAATATTAAGCTGTCTGCTAATGATATAACAAAATATTACAAATTGCCAAATAAATATAAATGAGGTTTTTGTTCTCAATCAAAAGTTGTGTAGATATTCCTTTTTGATACAGCATTATTATGGTTATTGTGATTGCAATATAAAACTATTTACATTCACCACTTTACCATTAGAATTCCCTTCAGTGAATCTTAATATGACAGTATACAAACATGATAATCAATTAGTCCTTTGACATCATCAAAAGGACTGCCTTCACCATCGGAACTTTACTACTGCCACCGAAGATTTCACTTCTAAGCTCGGACATTTCAGAAACGGATTAATTTCTGTTAATCCGCAAAGAGTGACACAAGGTTTGAGATTTCAATGCCCTTTCATCTTCCTTTCTGACGAAAAGCAAACCTAATCTTCCCCTGGTATTTGGTCCGCTGTCATGTCGAGTTTGTTCACTTCTTACGCATTTTCCCATCTTTCTCTACAAGCTTCCGTGGTTTCACAACTACAAAGCTGTTGTGACATCGGTCGATGCACCTGTCCTTCTTATAAAAAGCGTGAACTTGTCAAGGCACCCAAACAAGTTTGTTGACGAATCAAGTCTCTGGAGTTCAGTGACTCGTGCCTCGTACAAGGCAGGAACTGTTTTTCGATACGTAACAACTTTCGTTCACCTTTGGCAGGCACGGAATGAAGTTAACCCATCCGATGCAACCATCTCCTTGTGCTGTTTGTTTGTTTGTGAAGCACGTTCAATTTCCACCTGTCCAGTGAGGATGGTTATTAATGGAGTCTTCTGCGACTTCGTGATGGGTTCAGGATCACAACCTGAGATGTGCAAGTAAGCTCAAGTGTTCAGCGTCGTTTTGTCGATGCTCATCTTGATGGTATTGGTTGACCTTGCGCGCGTAAACAGTCTGAGCTTGGTTCGGGTATTGCAGAAAGCCTACATCGGATGATTGCAAACATCACCTTCTTGAAGTGCGGATGTTTTGTGGCATAGATGACAGGATTTATGCAAGCGTTCATAAGGATGATGGCCCCTGCCCATGGGATGAACGACTCAGAACCAGGAATCACCAAGCTAGCACAATATGGCGTGATGCAAAGGACAAACGCGCAGACGACATAAAAGAGGTTCTTGGTGATTTCGACCTGACGTTTGCTGATCGATCGTCGTGCCGTACTTTCACGCCTTTTGGGTTTGTGCGTTGATGAGGAGGATTCTGAGGTGTCTTGAATCTCTGTGATGGTCTTCGTGTGAGCACGGACGTGCACGTAGATGGCGACGTAAGACACCAGGATGACTGTCAGAGGAATCGGGTAGATGATGACGGCTTGGGTCAAGCTGTAGTAATCAGACAGCGGATGTGAAGTCTTGTGAGTGCATGTACCGTACTTGGCGTCGTATCCGAGCTGTCCGAGACCGAAGATGAGCGGCAAGAGGGACAGGAACAGAGGAATGACCCATGTGAACATGACCATTATGCCCATTCTGACCTTGGAGTAGTAGTGGTGATACACGTGTATAGGTTGAGTGATCAACACGAAGCGATTGAGACCTATCGCAGCCAGGCTGTAGACACTGGAACCAACGCACGTGTAGAGAATGATGGCGGCCATGACACATAGTGATTCCTCCATCGGCCATTGCTCTCGGTCTTCATTCAACAAGGCAATCACGTTCCAAGGGAGGAAAAGGTTGGTGAGGAGGTCAGCGATGGCCAGACTGACCACGAAGACGTTGGTGGCCGTCCGAAGTTTCCGAGACATGGCAACAGCAGCAATGACAATGCTGTTGCCGATCGAACCGACGACGGAGATGACGATGAAAGTGATGGCCAGGACCAGTCGCTGGTTGTAATCGGTGAACCGGAAGTCCTTACCACCACCACTTCCGGTCTCATCTGTTGTGTTAACCTCTCCTGACATGGTGAATGCTGTCTCCGTCTGAAAGATATGGAGGGAAAAAAAAGTCATTATGTCAATCCTGGGTATTGTAATATTTGTTTGAGTTCGTGCAGAATTGCATATTACGATTTATTGCGTTTAAATTATGGTCAATCTCATGAGACATGGAAGAGTAGTTCTGTTTGATGTAACCACAAAGGCACAAAGCAACATTTGGAAAATGCGTGAGAAATCAAGGAGTGTTCCTACGTATCATCGAGTTAAACTTTGTGTCCAAAATGCGAACGCTTGTACCCATGCCTTTGGAATTATGAGGGTACAACAGTGAATCAAAAGACAATTTTTTGACTCACTTATGATCACTTTGAAAAAGTGTAACCATGGACCTACTAAGATGGTGTAACAGAGTGGTAGTACTTTTCGAAACCTTACTACCTGCTAATATTATCATGGGCAACGGCTAGACCATAAACATCAATTCACTTTATTGCGCGGGTCATGATAAGAATAAGTCGATAAAATTCCCAGACACACAGCCAAAGCGACCTGGTAGGTATACCTGGTAGGTATACCCGACGTTCTGGATGTCCTCGTTCGGAGTTCAAAATCTGACAATTCCCTTGAAAGGTCTCGAAACATGATTTACTATTCAAAAAACGGACCAGCATTAATCACGAATGAACTTGGATTCGCACTTAAAGGATATAAGTTATCAATCATTCGTTCACAAACGCTGGTCATGGGGTTGAGTAGATATCACTACTGTGTTACCGGTATAAAACACTTTGAATGTCGTTGTTTTCGATGCCGTTATGCATGCCCCGGATTATGAATACAGCATGATTGATACGAGCAAGAACCGACGATATTGTATAACATCTGACCATCTGTTCATATTGTAAATATCTATGGACATTGAAGGGATAAGGCAACTGTATATTTCTGCTGAAATTAAAAGGCACGCGTCTTGTGATATTAAAAACGCGTAATCTGCATTGTTCTCTGTTTATGTTTTCTTTATAATGTTGTGGGTAATAACACAAAGTGCTTGGAATATTTTGATCACGTGACCTTCGTGATCTCTTCCGCATTTTGTTTGAAACACCAACATTTTGCTTTAACTTTCCCATAGTTTGACTCAATTTTTCTCTCAAATCGCTTAGCCTTGATATTGTTAATCTAATTCATTAAACCTTTAAACAAGGTGATACCGTTACAAAAAAGTATGATAAAAGACCAGATGAATAATTACATTTTGGGATCAGGTGATTACATGTAAGAGATACGATATAATTAAACATTTTAAATGTGCTAACGAATGACAACTACATTGTATCAGTTTATTCGTTTTGGGGCAAAGTTCTGGTTCACCATGGTTAAGATTCTTACAAGAAGCAAAATAAGTTACACTTTTAGACGTAACAATTTATAACCTCCACGCTGGTTTGATTTTACCAAGAATCAAGTTCATAGAGCAATGAGAAGAGATTATTACGCCACATGCCAATCTTTTTTAAGAGAATGATCGCCTGGAGCTATTATCAGGGATTTGATCATTAGAGTGCAATGATGAGAAGGAGATGAAGGATTAGAACAATAATGAAGGCGACCTTATCCCTTCAAACCTTGACATCATTCTGGTCTGGCCGTGATTCGCAATTTGGCGCCATTTTCTGGCTAAAGCCCGCGCGTTTATCGGAGAGCAGACGACAAATGCCGCTGGTGCGATGTATCTACAAACTGCTCTTCATAACGAGCTTTGTTCGCGATACAAAATGCTTCAAATTTACACCTCGGGTAGTTGCACCCTGCTGACAATACAAATGAGTAAAAACTGAAAATACATTTAATCGCGAAGAAATATGGAAAATTGGAGTAACACCTTCAAAAGCGACTATCAATTCACGGCGTTCGGGCGTATCGATTTGAGTGCGAATATTGTTGCGATGAGAAAGTGGTGATCAAAATGCTGATGGTGAGTCAGCGCCACAAAGAAGCGTCGATGTATCCTTTTATGTAAATTTTCGGCTCCGAAAAGCTTCATAACAGCACGAGTGATATTATTATTTTATTAGCACACTCACGAAAAAATATTTTGCCTGTAGCTTTGCCTTCGGGTTAGCACGCATCTACATCGAGGTATTGATTTTGTGCTTTGCATTCCCAAAATTATTAATCTCAGATATAAACGAATATAATTATATGGACTGTGAGAGAGGCGAAAAAAGGAAGAATGGGCTAACATTATAATTATCATAAGATGTTCCTACGAAAGGAAGTCACGTATCTCATAAATACAGAACGGCATCTATGAAGAGAGAGAGAGAGAGGGGGAGGGTTGAGGAGGGGGATACAAGATGATGTCATTTCGTGATAAAATTATGGATAAACTGTTAATCATAATGGATTTTGGATCTTCTAAAAAAGGAGGTTCCTTCATCTCCAGATGTGTCACAATAGAAATTTAACTGACATGTTTGAAGCACGCGAGCAGCATTCATTTCTGCTTTATTTGCAATAATTATTGTTCTCATCATAGATTCACTCGAATAACCATCATTGCTCAGACCTTCATGAGTAATGCACCAAAAATGAAACGGGTTTTCTCTCCCGTCCCTTATTTCTCAACCCTTCAACTTTTCATCTTCTCATTATATCCCCATCAGAGTCAGAGTCAGACGGCAATCTCATCCCACTTTGATCCTCGTCATCAATGATCTCACTTTCACGATCTCCCTACCTTTGATTCCTCTGTCTCTCATCACTGTTTTTCTCTCACTATTTTCCTCCAGTCATAACATGCCTCTATTTCGGGTTAGATACCGAGCGATGACTGGATGCCATTCATAACGAGTTTATGACATTGGATTTGGCATTTCAAGCCGTCCATCCATCAATAGACCGTTAGTCATCCCCACGCGATCGAGAGAGTCCGCTAATTATCTTAATTAGCGGCATACGCCGTTGATCCTCCGGACACGCGTCCCCGTGTCCGCCAAGCCCGCCGGCCGAGCTTTAAGCCAAGACATACCCCAGACCCACTCAAAATCGGAGACCAATTAAATACCGTTGTTTGCTTGTTATATCCCTATCAACTCAATTAGCTACAGCCTGGTTTCTGACTGACTGAGATGAGACAGGTATGGGGGTTTGTATCCTCACGTTCCTCAAGGTAATTAAATCTTGGACGGGGCGGTAACTTCGGTCGTTGTCACTTTTTGTCCGAGTTTGGTGATGAATATCTCCTAACTCAAAGACAACAGTAATCCTGATGCTTTGAAAGAAGGTATCTTAATTGGCTAGTTTGTCGCTATTCTGATTAGTCAAACGACACTTGATAAAGACAAGGACCGAACCAGCACAAAGACCTGGAAGACCACACATCTTTTGTTTCAGGTCGACTTTAAAAAAAAAAGAAGTATTTTTCCTCTCATCCGATTGCTAAAACAACATTTCAAATTTCTAAAGTATTACAGTCAGTGATATTTTTATTGTATTTCCCCTCCGAAATGGCATAAGGTAGATATTTTGTTTTTAGATATATACTGTACATGTTTAAAGGTCAAAATTGTTTACCGATACAACTACAAAGAAGCCATATTATCAGCTCCCAGAAATACAGTGAAACCTGATTATAAAGACAGCTCAAGTTATTAATATTTCATTGTTTCATCCAGGTCAAGAAGTCCCTTTAATGTTAATACTTCCATAAATAGATATTTAAGACAGTTTACCTCCCAACGCAACGGAGTCCAAATACCATAATCACATATTATGTTATCGAAAAATAGAAGCCTCGTAGGATATTTAAAGAGAAAAGGGGTATTGTATCCAAGCCCATTTCTACTTAATAATCGGTGACCATGAGCTAAATACATAACTGGTCTAGATAGCCCTTCGAGGGTAAAAAATATCATTGATCATGCAAGTATTATCATTTCGAAATCCTTGCGTTTATTATCAAAAGGTGTCAAGTATAAAGAGTATCATTGCAACAAGAGTGTAGACATGAACCATTCCAAATATAACGGCGTGCAGTTGCATCTTTAAATGTATACATGTACATTGGTCTTTACACTGTCTTTTAGATAAATGAAATGAATTGCATCGGAAATTGTTTCATATTAAACCTGATGGTATCCGAACATTGCATACAATCAATGATAATGCTTTTTGGGGGTGATGGTTTCAAATTCAACTATAGTACAAAATTCTGGTCGTACTTTTATTGCTTCGTATCAGGTTAAGATACAACATGAACTTCTGAACCTACTGAGGAAGCGTTCGATGTAGACCGGACTTCGGGATAAAATGAGAGAGGAGTAAATAGAAAGAGAGAGAGAGAGAGAGAGAGAGAGAGAGAGAGAGAGAGTAAGTTGTGGAGAGAGAATGAAACAAAAATTGAAACATCTGGGGGAGATGTAACGCTTGACTAGCGGCCAACCATTAGCCCATACTTGCATTTCCTCCTTTCGATCTCCAGCTTGGTACATGGAATGGACCTACTGTCATGGACCCTAACGTATTATCAAGCAATGCATGCATCCGAAGTAACGATAAGGAAGACAATTTCATCTCGCATGACCACCTCTATCTATCCTGTTGTCTCCTTCCGGCGGGCCATTTGGTCATGTCAAGGTTAATATTGGACGGTATTTGGACCCACATGTACATTCCAGCATTTCCGCAATTATGGCTTTATAATTATCTCCGTAACGCTCGTTAGATTGCAATATGGAGCACTAATGGAAATTAAGATTTTCTATCAATTTTGACTATTTTGTACAACTCGCAGCATAACGCTGCTCTCCTTTGTCAAAAACTCTATTAGGTAATCATTATTATTCATGCACAGTGCGATTTTACTCCAGACTTCCCCGGAATGTAATATACACGAGCATCCCCCTTCCCCCAACGCTGATACCAAGTTCGAAGGGGATCATCGGTTGGATCCATAGCCACATTATATCCAGTGGCGGATAGTTAGGGGGGGGGGGTACAGGGGGCACTTGCCCACCCAAATCATGAATCATGACTTT